CTTTCACAGGGGTCACCTAAATACATCCTGCATATCAGATATTTACATTACAATTCATAACAGTAACAAAATTACAGTTATGAAGCAGCAACGAAAATAATTCTATGGTTGGGGGTCACCACAACATGAGGAACTGTAGTAAAGGGTCACGGCATTAGGAAGGTTGAGAACCACTGACTTAGAGGCACTTGGGTTGTTTCCAAAATCTTGGCTATCCTATATAATAAAAGCCCAGCAACCGAACAGTGGAACGACCACAACAATGAGAACGACTGGTCAACCAGTCACTATGTTGCTCACTGACCACCCGGAGGCAGATGCTCAATGCACTGGTTGTCAGTGCTCTCCCACAGTGGGAGCGTCGCTCAGCTGACCGCAGCAGGTGCAGCCACTAGACTGACCCCACCAGTGCACGAATCCCGTGCACCAGGCCTCTAGTTGCAAATAATGCTGCAATGAACACAGGGGTCCTTACCATATTTTCCCGTGTATAAGACAATCCCATGTGTAAGACACCTCCCACTTTTCCAACCCCAAATTAAGAAATCAATATCTTAAATATTTTGCTGGTTTTCCTCTTAAGGTCTTCTCTTTTTTTGGCATCTTAAGGAGTTATTCTTCCTGTTTTCTCCACTGTCTGATCGTACACTCAATGGGAGGAGGTCCAAATTGTCTCTCTCTCTGCAGCTCTACCAGTATGTCCATGCTCTTTGGCATAGCTGATTACATTCAGTTTGAAATTTTCAGAGTCAACAATCACTTACCGGTATTTATCTTTTTATTTTTTGACATCTTCATGGGCTCAGAACACTTCAATCCCTATTGCATCTGCGCACTCTCCAACTCCATATCCAATTATAGCATCAACTGACGTCAATAACAATAAGGCTCATGATTGGAGGAAGCCTGTTTGACAAGGTATAGGCAGCTACACACCGCAGGGCTCCGTCCTCCGCTGACTTCCAGACACCCCTCGATTTTCAGTCTAACGATTTTAGAAAAAAAAATAGTGTTATGTTATACCTTAAATACGGTATAGTCTTTCAAATTAGTGTTTTGGGTTTCTTCAGATATATTCCCAGAAATGGAATCACTGGGTCATAAAGCAGTTCCTTCTTTATTATTTTATTTGTTGGTTTTAGAGAAAGAGGAAGAGAGAGAGAGAGAGAGAGAGAGAGAGAGAGAGAAACTTTGATCACTTGTTCCACCCATCCATGCATTCACTGGTTCATTCATGTATATGCCCCGACCACCGAGGATCAAATCTGCAGCACTGGAGTATCAGGATGATGTTCCAACTGACTAAGCTACCCCACCAGGG